AATTGACTCAGAAATCGATGTTCCCTGAATCTAAATCGTATAGTCGGCAAAGCCTCCATCAGGAAACATCACACCAACTTCTCCTCGGTAGTCTCCCGAGAGGAGAATCTAGGAAGAACGACGACTAGCAAATGCCCACGCAAACAGGCAGGGCGCACTAAATGAGATCGAAAATACCCGGGCTCTCAATTTAACTTGTAACCCATGACCCTTGCGTCATATCTATTTATATCCGTGAGTGATATGCCAGACAGAAGATTTTTTTTATCAAGAGCCATCTCGGAATCTTTGGGCTGGGAACCAGACTAGTATTATCCGTGTTCTGTAAAGTGGGTTTTCGATGCGTGAGTTTTGCGTAGTGACGTCATGCACAGAGTGCCTGGCTTAATAGCCTCACCAGCAAGCGTTATTGCGCCGGCGCCGCAGGGGCGGCAGCTGCCCGCCAGTAATGGCTGACCAGCCATCAGAGCATCCACAAACTACTGGCCGTCGGTAGTGGCCAGCAGGCGCCCTGGCGCGTCGTAGGTGTGGACAGATCTGGTCCTGAACAGCCGGTGCCCCCCCCCCCGCGTCCAGACAGGCGTGCGTGATCTGCAGAGACCACTCATCCCGAACATGCTCGCACAACGGGACCTCCATACTGGTACCCGCCTACTGAATAAGGTCCCCCAGCAGCAACTTCTCCGCCCCATGCCATCCGGTGACGACTCCCGACGTTTGCGTTGCTGCCTCCGTTGTTGGTGGTACCGGCCTGACAACGGGATTCCTGGCCTCCGCGCCTGCTGAGCGGCATCTCCGGCCAAGGTTCCTGTTCCATGGCCCCAAGGGCGTCTGCAGCTGTTCTGGTTGTTCTGTTGGGATATGGCTCCCTTTATTTGGTCGGTCCCCAGGAGAAGACAGAGGCCGGCTGGTCCCTGTAGCCATGTCTAGTTGGCCCTGCCACTGGCGATCGACACCGTTTCGGGGTCGTCACTCTCCAACTCCTGATCGCTGGCATGGACTTCCAGCATGTCCTCCCTTGAGATTGCCCCGACCAAAGGTCACTTGTAGCATTTTTTATGTTTCCTTAGGGTGTTTACCCTGTAAAAGCCCCGTCTACACCCCTGGTTACATTGGTGGGCGGGGGCTCCGAGTAGAGGGCTGTGAAAACCGTCCGGCGGTGCCAGCGCAAACCCTTTTGCCTCAGCCGCTTTTCGCACTCAGGGCAGTCCACTTCATCAGACATCCCGCGTGGGGAAGAAGGAAAATTTATGAGAGGCAATAATGCTAGGTCGGATTACTTTCTGCCCCGCTCAGGTGACCTGGGGCGGTGGTCCTTCTGCTTTCTCCTGGGGTGTGCCCTGGCCTGGGGTCGAAGAGCGGTGGATTGGGCTCTTCTTAGATGGGTCGCTTGCTGGTTCCTCCGGCGTTGGTGCTTCTGGTGTCGTCGACTCGGCTCCATTCTCGTTCCCGTTGTGTTGGTCCTCGCCCCCGGTTCCCTTATCCTCTCCCTCTTCAGAGGCCGTCCCTTGTCCAGGGTCTGCCGCTGGGGCTTCAGGCCCGTCTAGAAATTCTGGCTCGTCGGGGGTGGGGTGAGTTTGATCCGTATCCTCCGAGGGTGCCCGATGCAGCGGCACTTAAGCCGCCGTTCCGAAACGTTGCATAAACGCTCCAGATATCGCTGAGTACTCCTTGCGGGCCTCCGACGCCAAAGCCCAGCGCCTCCTTGGCTGCGCCCCTGACGTGGGAGGCTGGGTACATTGCTTTTTCGGCGTCACTCCAGTGGTTTATCATCGCAACACTCTCGAAATGAACGAACTAGGCATGGCAATCAGCCCAAGACGAACGTCCACCGAATTTGTCGGGCAACACCGTAGGCCGTCGACTTGCCGTCATAGGTCGCTTTAGGGCACCAGGTCCCGAAATTCCAGCAGTTGGGTCCTGCACTTAGATGGCCGGCTATCAAGCAGCACTCGTTCGTGTGTCTACCAGTCGGGGGCCGAGCACCCACTCCCTCCTTGTCGGAGCAGCAGTTTTGGCTTCATCCCAGGCATTCGCGTATAAGCTCGCGAGTGGTCCGACACGGGCTCAATCGTGACATATTGGTAGGGAGGGTTGATTGAATCCTGAGTACTTGTGCATGGGCCCGCGAGGGATCCGACAAGGACCCACTCGCAGCCTGTTGGCATGGATGGGTTAA